TTATGAATATATCATAATAATCAATAACATAGTTTTTTAGTTAGTCTAATTGATACATTTTTTTTTAATCACGGCATATTTAAATGTCAAACTAAGCAGTCCAATAAGTACTTTGCATATCAATCTAATTACATTAGTTGCTTTGAACTCAAACGTTAATTTTTTCCTTGTGTCATCGATTACATATGTTTATCACTCATTTATAAAGTAACAAATTTTTACTCTTATTGTCTAATTCAAATAAACACTTAAAACATAGTGTGTAATAAATCAAAGTAAAGTAAAAGCCCCAATTATTGACAGGGGTCTAAATATTGACACCCTAAATTATTTTTAAATATATTTAATCATCTGTAATAAAAATAACTATTATATAAATTTTCATTAAATTCTAATTAATTAAAAAATTGCAAAAAATACTGTCAGTTCAAAATATTAGATGTTAATTAAGGGGGTCTTCTAGTCTAGAGGCCCGAATTTCGAGCGTTTCTTAGCAGTCGATAAAAAAAAAGCATTTGATATTTTTACTGTCCATTTTCTTATCATTTGTTTATTTATATTCAGAGAGTATACACAAAATTAATTTCGAAAAAAAAAAAATTTTTTTTATCGAGTTATGCGGCCTTGAAGTAGAGGGGAGAAAAAAAAAGGCCGTGTCTTCGTAGCCATGATTTCTACCCTTGTGGTCATCTGAAAAATAGAACAATGATAGATTCTTGATTAGTACGAATGTCGCTCTCGCATGAACCAACAAAACTGAAAAAAAATTTTTTTTCTAAAATGGCGGCTACTCAAAAAAAAACGTCAAGTTTTTCAAAAATTTTTTAACTTTATCGAATTTTTTAAAATTGTTGAAAATTTCAAATTTTCATTTTTTGTTAGTTCATGCGAGAGCGACATTTGTACTTATCAAGAATCCATCATTGTTTTTTTTTTTCAGATGACTACAAGGGTAGAAAACATGGCTACGAGGACACGGCCTTTCCCCCCCCCCCCTCTACTTCAAGGACGCATAACTCGATAAAAAAAAATTTTTTTTTTAAATTAATTTTGTGTACTCTCAGAATATAAATAAACAACTGATAAAAAAATGGACAGTAAAAATATCAAATGCTTTTTTTTTATCGACTGTCAAAAAACGTTCGAAATTCGGGCCTCTAGACTAGAATACCCCCTTATTAATAAAAAAAAATATAGTTAGCATCAGTTCATCAAACCAGCTTACGAACGTCTATTTTCTTAACAACTTTGATTATAAAAACTTTTTTTTAAAATGCCGAGTTTAAATTGATTTCTTCATTTAATTATATGATCTTTTTATTTTGTTATTAACAATATATGAAAAATTTATAAAATTGAATAATCAAAATAAATTGTGTGTTTTATAATATTTGAATAATGGGTGTCAATAACTAGTTGATAATTGTTAAGTTGAATCTTATATTGACAGCCATTCGACAGCGCTATGACGCCTTTTTTTTTTACTTTAATATAAAAAATTTACTGTAAGAGTTTAAACTCTTCTGATTCAATTATTTTTAAATTAATTTTTATAATTTTAGCATCATATAATAATTTGTGGAAATTATTATTAATAAACTTTAATAAAATTGATTACTTAATAATAAGTTTCGATAAATAAAAGAATAAGCAGATGATTCGACGCATGCGCAGTATAGATATTAATAATTGGGGTGAAAGTATGTCAATAATTAAATCAATCAGTTTTTTAACCTGTCAATAATTTGTGTATCCGGATAATCTATTTAATTATTTAAAATGAATTAGTAAATATCACTGACTATCATTTAAAATATAAGAAATTGATTACTAAAAACATTACTTGAGACATTACCACAAACAAAATTCAACGATATTGATATTTGATTGCTTCAAAAAAATCAAATCATAACTTTGTCTCTAATAGTGTCAATAATTGGGGCTTTTACTTTATTTTTCTAATTTTAAAAATAATTAATTAGATACTTCGAGCTTTGGAGACTTTTCAACTCTAACATTTGGATGTTTTAAGAATACATACAAGCTTTATTCACCACATTTTAATATAATGGAGGGCAAAAAACAAATGTATAATCGTTTGTTAAATCCATCATTCGACGAAGGAGACGTTAGTTTACGTACTCGTTTCAGGTATCGTAAATTAATGCGTACTGTTGAAGAGCAACAAAATTTAGGTTGGTAAATTGAATGTTTTCGCGAAAAATCATATTTGTTGTTCCAGTGACAAATAAAGTAACTAGGAATTTTTCTTTAATCTTCAGAATTTGCTCCAGTTTCAAGTCAAAATGAGGATAATTCTTTTCTAAATTTTTACGAGAAGAGTAACACAATTCATCTCATAGAACGACAATGAAAAATCATCTCCACCATAGACATCGGAGCCATTATCAACGTATTCCCCTGGCAAGAGATGACGTCACCGGACGATCGTGAAAGTCGCAAAACTTGCCTGTCCTACTTCCCCCCTCTTCGAGTGCGCAATCTTAGGAAAGAAAGCCATATTAAAAGAACTAGAAAAAGACAGACAAGACGTAGTTAATCGACTAAAACAAAATCTTAAACAAGTCGAAAACATCCCAAAAATTCGCAATCGAAGGACGCCTTGGTTTGGATTCGTAGGCTCCATAGCACGAAAGGCCTTCGGACTCATGGACTACGACGACTACGAATACATCTCCACAGAAATCGACAAACTATACAACGATCAAAGAGAAATAACAACACTGATGAACAACTCAACTCACATAATAAAATCAGAAATAAACAAAGTCATCTCTGACCAAAATAAAACCAAAGCAAGAGTCACATTACTATCCGACACCATCAACCGCTACGCAACACAAGTCGGAAGTGAAATTGAAAAATTGAAATTACGCATACACTTCATGCAAAGAGCCGACGAAAGAGTCCAAAGAACAACGAAATTGATACGCTACCTCAAAGAAGCCGAGTCAGCTATAGAAGATACAAAAAGAGGAAACATCCCGGGAGGAATTCTATCACCCGAACAACTGAAAAACGCAACCAGAGACATCACGACTCGCTTTCCACACTTAAATCCTCCTCAACCAGTAGACCACATAAATATCCAGACTCTCTCCAACGTCGCCAAAGTAAACACAGGAAGAATAGGAAATAAGTTCCTAATCTTAATCACTCTTCCACTGTTTAACCAAATTACCTTTCAATTATACCGAATGAGACCAGTTCCAGTACCACAAACAATCGGAGGAACCATGAGAAGCCTACTAGTACGGCCGAGTAAAGAGTATCTAGCCATAGACGCCTTCCAAAATCAATATTATCTAGTAGACTCAGAAACCATAAAAGGTTGTAGAATAATTTCAACAGATCTAGCCTGTGAAACCAACATACCGCTCCAACCAGTAAAAGACAGCACCGAATGCGAACTCCAACTTTACCTAAACCCAACCAATGAAACTCTACACCAATGTGATGTTCGCATACTACCAAAATGCTCTACACAGCTATTCAAACTACAACAACTGAACTCCTGGGCTTACTCTACCTGCAAACCAGAAATTTTCATAACAACTTGTGACACGACTCCTCGGATTGAACACGAACTGCACGGCTCCGGTACCTTCACCTTATCACCCGGCTGTGTCTTAACGAATAATCGTCTCACAGTAAAAGGGACCGAAGAAGAAGAAGAAACAAGCGGAATCTACGCTTTCCCCGGTATAAATTTAACACCCCTAGCGACGAACCTCACCGAACAGCCCAAGCCACCACATCTACTAACAAATATCGCCGTAGAACCGATAGCAGAAAACACCTTACTCTCACCATGGGGCGATAGCCTCGAAGGAAACAACAATAGACTCACACAAATCGGACTTCACTATCAAGAAGAATCAAAACATCGACTCATCACCGTAGCAAACACAGGAGCAATACTCATAATCATTACGTCCCTTATATTCTTCCTTGGCTATTACTACTGCGGCTGTTCCTGCAACTGCCTAAAACTCCTACGAAAAATCAAGAAGAAGAAACAAAAACAAACTGAAGGAAAATTCAATGAAACACTCGAACTTTCAAATACCAATACAACCGACTCAACCTCGTCATTATCACCTAGAGCAATGAGATACCAACACAACATACCAACAATACACGGACAAAGCCCAGCAACGCCATCAAAGAAATCAAAAGCCGGCATCCGATTAACTGACTACGAATAAAACATACGAAAGATAATAAAAAAAAAAAAATTTTTTTTCTCTCTCTACAAATTAATATAATTATATTAAGATAAGTCCTTAGAGAGCAAGAAAAAGGGAGAATACACGTATAGCCTCCTTCGCCCCAAAAAAAAAAAAATTGTTTTTCAAAATCCAAAAATTTTTTTTCCCCTTCTCCTCGCTTCTTCCTCTCAAAAACAAATTTTAAAGAATAACTGATTATGATTTATATGTAAAAGTATATTCGATACAAGACGAGTCATCTGGCGGTAACTAAATCACCAAAAGATCTAAAAATCATTAAAAATCTGTTTTAACTACAACAAATTAATTATCGCACTACCGGTAATTAAAAACCGCAGTCAAACCGGCGGCCCTCATTACCACCCACCGTCTAACGAGCGACCGCCTCCTGACCACGCCTACATAACGCACCACATACACGATCCTCCAAATAATACACATACATACTTACCTTCATACTTAATATACTAATTAAATATTAACATGTATTAAAACTAAATTAAAATTGAAACTTAACCTAAGTAGGAAAGACAAACTAATAAAACCTTATTTAAATTTTATAATTTTTTATTTTTTTCTCTACACAAAACTACAAAATTTTATATATCCATCCATTGACCCCAAGGAGTTCATAAGAGACCCCACACGACGGATATTGTCAGCGAAACAGGAGACTCTAGAAACATACAGAAAATTTCTTTTTCTTTTTAAAACACCTTACGTTATAAAGAAAATTCAACTCACCTTTCAAAAATAGCAAACAAAATTCTTATTGGATACAAATTCAATAAGTGCTTCCCGCAACCGTTCCAAATCGGAAAGGTTGGGAGCGATGAACTCCTCCTCGCCATCTAGATTCTCCAGCATATGGAGAAAGAAAAAGGTTGCTGCGCCCGAAACCTCAGGCCCAGCAGGCCCAAACAGAGCCATCCACTCCTCGACTAGATCCAGAGCCTCGCGTGGGGTAAGCGGACCAATCAAGCGACGTAAAATCCTTACTCCCCGCCGCAAATCCTATAAAACAAAACAAAACAATACTTAAAATCCTTAAAGCCTACCCCTTTCTTAAATAAAACCACTTACCCGCTCGCCAAACACAGCAGTAACATATTGGAACCAAGTCCCAAAATTCTCGTAACACCTCTCAGTAGGATACATTTCACAATTTTTTTTAGTACTAGACACGTACACTGTTTAACGAATACTGACACTCCTAATTGACACTTGATAAGTCGCCACGAACAAAAATTAAAAACCCTTGCTCAGCAAAATTTATAAAAGAACGCGAATAAAATTCAAACTTACACGCCAGATGACTAACTTAAATTATACCGCGAAAGACAAAAACACCACCTATATAAGATAACAACCTAAAAACAATACTACTACCGATAAATTAGAAATTCTGCGAAACAAAGCGCAACAATTCAAAAAGAAAGACTTCAAGTCAATACACATTTTATATAAGAACCACAATGTAACTAGAGATTTATAATCATATAATTTTAAACATATATAAAAAACTACCCTATACTATAAAACTTTGTGTCTGTCAGAGTCGTAACTCTGTTCACGAACTCATATAATAACATTGCTAATCACAAAATATAGTTATAAGTGAATAGTTATTAAGTGAAATATTGTGCATTGAGTGCGTCTAGCCCGTAGGGCTAAATATTGAATAAACATTAAAAACCCAAATATCGTGGACTCCATCATTTCTAAGACTAGTTCCTGAACCTCTTTCATTACATCGATCTCAACCACGAGAGAAGGAAGAGAAACCAACCAAGGATCTACCGATCGGCAGCTCTAATTCAAATCAACAATATAAATCATAAAGACAACTGTGAGTTCAGCATTTGATATCGACTTTCCCTTTAAATGCGCCGTTGGAACTCCTGGTTACCGGGAGGCGTTCGAAACCTACATTAAAAATAAAACTCTTGTAGCTCGGCTACAAGAGAAAATCTATCTCAAAACGTGTCCGAGCCTCCTCAAGGCCCACTCTACCAATAATTATTTAACTATAACTAATTCGGACATAACACATGACTCTGAGGATGCTGAGCAAAGTCAATCACAAAAAAGACATTGGCAATCATCATTTTTAGATTTTGAACATTTTTGTTCAAATTATTCGGTTTTGATTTTATTTTTTTTTTTTTTTTTTTTTTTTTTTTTTTTTTTTTAA